CTTTCGTGCGCAGCTTAAAGATCGCGTGCAGCGCATCAACGAAAATCTGCAGCAGTGGGCTCTAGAGGTGGAGAAGCTGGTGCGAAAAGCATACCGGTCTGTACCTGCGCTCATTAAAGGGAACCTGGTGCAGACATTCATCGACAGCATCCGCGACCTGGAAGTCAGAGCTGCTGTGAGGCTCGGGCACCACGAGACGCTTAAGGACGCCTTGGCCCATGCACTGGAGGTGGAAGCCGTGCGGCAGGATCATCGTTCCCATCGCGTCAGGGGAGGTTGCAGCAGCTACAGTTCGCGACCGCAACAAAGGATACAGCCCTAGGTGCTATATCTGTGGGGAAAGGGGCCATCTTCGATCCAGCTGCCATAAGCGAACCGTAGAAAGGGAAGTTGATCGATCTCCAGAGAGTAGTGCAGCTAACGGCACCGCCTGGCGGCGTCAGGATCATCGTTCCCCTCACGTTAGGGAGGTTGCAGCAGTTACGGTTTGCGACCACAATAAAGGATACAGCCCTAGGTGCTATGGCTGTGGGGAAACGGGCCATCTTCGATCCAGCTGCCCTATGCGAACCCTAGAAAGGGAAGGTGAACGAGCTCAGAAGGGAAGTGCGGCTAACATCACCGCCAAGCAGCAGCCGGGATACAACTTTACTATCAGACATCGCAGCGGGAAATCTCATGGCAACACAGATGCATTACCAAGAAGACCTTGTCCTGAAGATTGGAAACATTGCACTAGGCAAGAGAGCAAGGAAGTGGTATCCGTGAGGATGCTCAGGGCAGACCACCTCAGCAACGAGTGGAACGACAGCTTACTACTTGCACAGCAGGAAGATCCGGACATCAAGTCGATTCTGGAATGGATAAAGGCCAGTGCTCCCAAGCCCAAGTGGAGCGACGTCTCAGCGATGAGTTCGACTACTAAAAGCTATTGGGCCCAGTGGGACAGCTTGCTGCTTCAGGATGGAGTTCTGTGTCGTAAATGGGAAAATGTTCGGGGAAACAGCTGTCATTTGCAAATGGTTGTCCCTAAAGCTAAAGTACCGGATGTTCTATAGCTGTACCATAATGATTGTTCAGGAGTCCATCTGGGAGTTAAACGAACTCTGCTGAAGGTCCGAGAACAGTTTTACTGGGTCTATTATCGTGACGATGTCGAGGCTTGGTGTCGTACATGTACAAGTTGTGCGGCCGTGAGGGGACCTCAGACATGTAGTAGAGGAGCACCGAAATTGTACAATGTTGGTGCACCATGGGATAGGACAGCCCTTGACATTGCGGAGCCGTTACAGAAAGGCGCTAGAGGGACTCCTAAGATCGTCCATGTGGATCACCTTGCGCGTTATTATGGGGCCGATAATGCTCGGGACGAGCATGTCTTAGGAGGGGGCAGTGTTGCGCGGCTAAGTTGACATCTGGCACTAGCGCCATCTAGTGTCGGGTAACGGAGCGAGGGGAGAGCTTTCCAGAAAATGACATCACTAATCTTTCAACCGACAGCGCCATCTGTTGTCGAAACGAAGAACTGGAAGCTGACTCTCGAACTTTCGACGCTTTGTCGATTGGTGCGCGTATTTACTTGAATGTTCTGGATGATTCGGTACTAATGTGTATTTATAGGCGCTGCAAGGTGCGATCAGGGGAAGTATTGAATTTGGCGAGACAAGCGATGCTTCGGAGCGGAATAAAGTGAATCAGTGTGATTAATTATTAGTGTTTTAAGTTTAAATTTGTGTAAAGAAAATTAAAGTGTTAATTTAGGTAATTTTATCGGCAATTTTTATTGTCACGAACCTCAAGCTCGTAACAATATTATAGCACGCTATCTCTCCATAACGCATAGCACGTGCTTTGTAAGTAGTCTCTATTGCGCTGTGGCGGCCACAGCTATATTAACCACCATTACTGTGGCGCTACGACGCTTTGGCACTATTCATTCATATCAAGTAGAAATTAGTTTTAGCAGCAGCGCTTTTGGGTGTAGACGTGTGACACAAATTTAATCTAGCATCACGCTATTCATCACGCACGAACTAATTTAGTATTAGACGTTTATAAGTGATCGAAGGACACAGTTGTCTGCTACAAAAGAAGGCTAACTAATATTTTTAAATGTAAATAATATATAGATACAAAAGAGTATATAATAATGTTTGTAAATAGTTGATTTTTATAGATACAACCAATAAACGTTTAAATACACCTTTATTTGATTTATAATTTGTATTATGGTTAAAATAACGTTTACATCAATTATAATAAAAAATTATTAATTTTATTTTGTTTTAAAAAGTACATGCCTTAAATATATTTTTAGGATTATAGAAAGTCGTAAGCCTGAAAAGTATGAAGGAGCGTTCATTGATCTCTTTACCACTTTATTTTATTTTAATCTAAAATGCGACTTATTATGAAATAATGTTCCTATAAAGCACACGGTCTATCCAATGAACGACACGTAATGTAGCGTACTCGTAGATATAGCGTGCTGCTAAACTTAACGTGTTTGCCGGCCTCCTACACGCTTTCTTATAAATAGCGCGCTATAACATAGCGTATTTAATAGCGCGCTAGAAATTTATATTTTATAGTCTGTAGCGTGCTATTGATTTATAGTCGTTTTTAACAACTTTATAAACCAAATCCTTCGATCCCACCATAGATAAGCTAGTATAATCGGTAGTAGATACGCCACTGAGGTTTTAAAATTATTATGGTTCATAAAAGATAGCTTGATCTCTGCGACAGCTGTCAGTAAAAATCACGCCTATGAAGTCCTGAATTTCTTAGTAGTACAGACAGTACGTGTCAATGTCATACTTTATGGGCATGCACTAATTAGGTCGGCATGCCCATAAAGTATGACATTCGCAGGTATTGTCTGTACTACTAAGAAATTCATGACTTCATAGCTTTGACTAGGGAAAAAAGAAAGGACGTGACATACCTCCGAAAAAAACGTGAATACCTAAACTGAGTCTGGCACAAGAATTGCGGCTTGACGTAGTGCTGTGCACTATACTTAATATCGATAATGTGGCGCTTATTTAGAAAAATATTCTTTCGTGTGGTTCGTCTCAAACACCCGTGTGTTCTTAGTTTTTTTTTTTAAATCAATATGACGGATTTTTGTCGCCAAATTGTAAGTCCTTAATTTTTTTACTCAAGCTATCGATAGGGGTAAAGGAAATTAAAAGGAGATTACTGAATTATATATAAGTTACACCTATGTTTTCAGTGCATTACTTTTAAGCAGTCGTTTTTTTTTTGTTTTTATAATGTAACTATCTATTATTAATGTTACAATTATTTCCCGGGAATTACTAAACAAGAAATACTAATTAAAGAATTTCTAATACACTAATTAAACTAATTTCTAATACACTAAATAAATGCAAAAGTTTGAATCTTTGTTTATTCCTCAATCACGCCAAAAGTATCAGACCAGTTTGAATGTAATAATTTGGCACGCAAATAGTTTATTACCAGAATTAACATATAGGATACTTTTTATCCCGATTTAGAGGTCTCGAGGAATAGAATAAGAAACTTCGTAATAATCGAATTCCACGAGAGAAACATATAAAAATAATACACCTCACTAAAGTCGCAATGACAACTGATATAGTTGTCATTGACTATGACAAAACATGGCGCCCGGCCGCAGCGAAAAAATTATTGCCATATTCGGTAATGATAAAACTAGAATTATTGTCCTTTTTTACATACGAATATACTCATAAGCTAAAAAGAGGCGCCGATATTTCGTTACATTCCTACAACTAACGATCTTTATGTCATGTTCTTTCTTCTCTAGTCAAAGCTTCATAGGCGTGATTTTACTGACAGCTGTCGCAGAGATCAAGCTATCTTTTATGAACTATAATTACAAGCTACCTCCTAAAGCTGGCGCTGATTCTTTACATGGTCGCCCTCTAGAGGGCATAACTATATAGTATCTAATTTATTCATTTAACTAAACTGTATTTAAGTGGGAATGTTGAAGAAAAAGTTAAGTTCTTCAACCTGTAATAAAATACGAAGCTGTTATTTATTGCATTTATTATCAGTTTTACAATAGGTATATGCTTGTAATTTTACCAAGTTGTGGTTTGCAGAACACATCAGTTTTCCTTTCAATTTACAATTTCCATTTGTACACCAACTATTTATGAGTCACCATATCATATGATTATTAATAAAAAAATGAAATCATTTTTATGTATGGGACAAAACAAAAAGATGGATTGCAGAAGATTTCTTCAAGGTCCATTATTCTCTTTTTAATTTTTTTAATACCAGGAGAATCTTTTAATGTTGCATGTGTTTTGTGATTAATTTCATTTAAATGCTGATACAGTGCTTTTCCGGGAGAAAACAATGATTTTTTTGTATAATCCCTTTCATATATTATGTAGCTAGATATATCATGTTCCTTAATTAATTCATTTTTGCACCTCCTGCAAGATTTAAAAATCGGTTTACATTTTTATTATATATCCAGCTACATATTGTTTTTAATTCGTTCTGGCTCATATTGTCATTATTCTCATTTAAGACTTTAATTAACGGATCCAAGCAGATATTATCGTCACTTTGTTCATGATTTATATTGCGTCCCACAACTAATGATTTAAAATTTTGCAATAGTTTATTTCCATCCTTTTTACAATTTGCCCCAACAGAATGATGTGATGTATAATTATTAATAATTAATGATTTATATGCATTAGAAAATTTGCTACAAGTGGGAGAAACATTTCTGACACCATAACTCCGTACAAAACAAAAAAACTTTTCCACAGCATCTTGATTAAAGTTTCGCGTCAATAGGGTTTGTACATTATATTTTTTTATTTAATAAAAAAAATATTTCTTTCATGCTTTGACTATTTTTGATTCATTTTTTTAAAGATGGAACTTGAACATATTTTATAAACTCAGTAACATCTCTTTGCTTATGTTTCAAACCTAACTTAACTTTCAAACAGTTTCAAACCCTATTGAACGCACAATTGGTAAAAATTCGTTCCACTTCTTAAAATGCGCAGTTTCTTTTTAGACATCCTTTTAAAGGTTTTGCGTCGTCCTTGTACTTTGATCCGTTGAATGAGTCGAACTGTCCCTCTGCATTCCTCCGGCAATGCTTTATTTTCTGTAAAAAAAAACAATATTAACAATAGTGCTACTTTAACAGGTTGTCATTTGCTTATAAATACAGAGGCTAGTTCAAACTACAGTAGCCAGCCATATAAAAAAACATATCCTGCCTCGTTGGTCTAGTGGTTGTAGTAGTGCGACTGCCATCATGAGGTCTTGGGTTCGAATCCCGGGCCTGGCCAAAAAATCAATTATTGAGTTTTTCTGTCAAGAAATTCTCAGTAGCTGCCTGGAGTCAGGAAGTTGGCGGTGTCTCACCCCCGTGTCTCGGAAAGCACGTAAAGCCGTTGGTCCTGCGCCTAATCTCTCTCCGGTCGTGTCGGTTTACCGTCCCATCGGATTATGAGAGTGAAGGAATAGAGAGTGCACCTGTGCTTACACCTGCGCATACACTTGGGCACTAGAATCCTGTCCTGCGCCGATGGCTAGCCTCAGCTGAGGCATGCCGCCGTGACCGAAATTCGGTCTGGAGGACATTATTATATTAGCCAGCCATTTATATTACATGTAATAACTAATATACTAAGCTAGCACCCGGCGGTTTGCAGCTGCGGAAGAAATAATTCTAAAAATATTATTTTAAATTTGGAAGAGTAATATTGTTTAATTAGGAATAATATTATACAAGTTGACATTGAATATATGATTTTCAGATAAATTTGTGGGTACGATACGCGCACCACATATTGTAAGTTAATTGTACTATGTCTTATAAACTTCGCAACAGTACAAACAATAAGTTGAACAAAGTTTCAGCGCAATCTGAATTGAACTGTATGATAGCGCATAAAATACGAACAAACATTAATTTTTATGTATTAGGTATAATATACACCGCGGTCGGAAAAAGCTAGTAGTATATATTATGTACTACTAGCTTTTTACCCCGCGGTGTTACGTAACAAATTTTCACGTAACAAAATTCGTTTAATAATTTTTCACCATACATATACATATAAGCCATGGTAACTCAGATGGTTAGTAATAATAATAATAATAATAATAATATCCTTTATTTCAGACATTTTCATTTACAGTATCTATCTGGATTAATCTATATCTAACACTGGATTATATATTATATATATTTACACTCTCAACGCTTAACTATTGTACATCGACAACCCTGTCTGTATGCCACTTATTGGCAAAGGCCTCCTCCAACCTTTCCCATTCTTTTCTATCCTTAGCAGTTCTCGTCCATATGCCTCCTGCTATGGCTTTAATATCATCCTCCCATCTTCTACATGGTCTACCTTTTTTCCTTTTCATATGACCTGTAAACCAATTCATTATTGATTTCGACCATTTCTCTTTTCCTCTAATTATATGACCTGACCATTTCCATTTTAACTTTTTTATTATTATTGTGACATCTTTTGTTTTCGTGTGTTTCTTTATGGTTTCGATTCTTATTCTATCGGATAGTCTTTTCCCCATCATACTCCTTTCCATGGAGTTTTGGCATGTTTCTAACTTTTTAATGTGTGCTTTAGTGAGTGCCCAGGTTTGGCAGCCATAAGTGAGTATAGGTAGTATGCTGGTATCAAAGAGTTTCCGTTTGATGGTTATGTTAGTGTCGTTATTTTTTCATTATTTCTTTTAGGCTCCAAAATTGTTTCCAGGCATTTCCAATGCGTCTGTCAATTTCTTTTGAGGTTAGATTTATAGGAGAGATTATCTGGCCTAAATAGATGTATTCATTAACATATTCAATCAGGTTATTATTGATCAGAATAGGTTCTTCCTTGCCATTGGTCATAGCCTTGGTCTTTAATGTGTTCACGACCAATCCCACATTGCCACTTTCTCTGACCAGGTCATTCAACATCGCCTGCAGTCCGTCACTCGATGACGAGAGGATTATCAAATCATCGGCAAATCTCAAATGTGACAGGTTTTCGCCGTTAATGGACAGTCCACATTTCTCCCAGTCTAATTGACGAAAGACTTCTTCCAAAACGGCTGTGAAGAGTTTCGGCGATAGCGGATCGCCCTGACGTACGCCTCTTCCTATTATAATATCTTTACCTTCCTTCTCTAGTTTTATCTTAGCCTTGCTGTTATCGTAGATATTTTTTAGTATTCTGATGTATTTATTTTCAATACCTTGGTTTTTGAGTGTCTGCCAAATTTTTTTCATGCTCTATTGTATCGAAAGCTTTACTGTAATCCACAAAGCAGCAGTAAAAGGTTATGTTGTATTCATTGGCTTTTTCGAATAGTTGCTTGATGACATGAATGTGGTCTAAAGTTGAGTATCCGCTCCTGAAACCCGCCTGCTCTCTTGGTTGATTTTCATCCAACGTGCTAGTTATTCTATAGAGTATAACTTTTGCGAAGATTTTATATATATTCGACAATAGACTTATAGGTCTATAATTATTAATGTTATTTTTATCTCCTTTTTTGTGTATAAGTACTATTGTTGACGTTGTCCATTGGTAAGGTATTATCTCACTTTGTAAGACTTCATTGAAGAGATGTTTGAGAATTGGTATCAGGTGGTTTCTATTTAGGATGAGGAACTCGTTACTTATGCCATCTAATCCTGGGGCTTTATCTGTTTTTTTGAGTTCTCACAGCTTTTTCTACTTCATCGTGTATTATATCTGGTACTTCACTTCCTCCTGTTAGGATTGTTGTCTGTGCAGTGTTTTTCCTTGAATACAATTCTTCAAAAAATTGAGTGGCTATTGATATGATTTCAGGGCGTCGCTTCTCGCATTTATGATTTTTGTTTATTAAATTTGGTATCCAATCTCGTTTTTCCAATAGTAGTTTAGCTGTTTTTTTGGTGCCTCCGGTTCTTTGTATGCATTTTTCCAGTTGTTCTAATCTATACCTCTGACGGTCTTTTCTCATGTGTGTTTTTATTTTATTACTTAAATTAGCTATGTCTTTTCTTATAGTTTTTGTCTTTTCAGGGTTAGATATAAGGTCTGCTCTACTTCTTATCAGTTCTTTAGTTTTGTTTGTTATCCATTTTGTCTTATTGTTTCTACTTTCCATTATGCCTTTTTTTAGTAGTATAGAGGAGTTCTTCGAATTTATTGTATTTACTCTGTATGTCTAAGTCCTTTGTTTTTTCTATGAATTGTTCTATCTTTCCTTTTAGTGAATCGGTACTTTCTAGTGTTAAGCTGTTGGTTTGTTTTACTTTAAAGGGTCTATCTTTATTGAGTGTGTTTATTTGTAACTTAGCTCTTAGCATCCTGTGGTTGCTGTTGAAATTAATATTGTTTAAAACTCTACAGTCCCGAAAGTCTTTACTTTTGTTTGTTAGTATGTGATCTATCTCGTTTTTTGTGGTGACCATCTGGAGATATCCATGTCCATCTGTTGTTCTCACGTTTTCTGTATAGAGTGTTTAGTACTTTTAAGTTGTTTCCATATGCCAGTTGGACAAGTTTCTCCCCATTTCTTGTTCTTTTGCCTGAACAATACGGACCCAATATCATTTGTTCTCCGTCTCCTCTTGCCCCTATTCTTGCATTAAAATCTCCCATCACTACTAAATTGTTGTGCGAGTGTTTGATTATTGCATCCTGTAACATAGAATAGAACGTGTCGATTTCTGTTCTACTTGATTGTTCAGTTGGAGAGTAGACTTGCACAATCGACCACTTTTCATTTTTCGGAGGTAGTTTTATATTAAGTATAACAATACGCTCTGAGATGCCAATGAACTCGTCAATAAATGGTTTTAATTCATTTTTTATTAAGAATCCTGTTCCATATAAGCCTGGTGTTTCTCCTTTATAATAAAATATAAAATGCCCGTGGTCTTCTATACTCTCCCCTAGTCGTCGTACTTCACTCAAACCCAGTATTGACCACTTTACATTTTCTAGAGCTAGTATTAGTTCCGTTAGACTCTCATGAGTTCTTAAGGACAATGTATTGTATGTCGCAATGTGTATTTTATCTGCCATTTGGCGATGTTTTTTAGGAGGAATGTGTAATTGGAAATTAGTTGGAGGGTAATAGTCTTCTTCCCCCACGGTGACTGGCCGGATTGGGGTGCCTTTAGAAAAAGTTTGTTTTATTGATGTTGTGTTGTCTCGGTTCCGGGTGTCGATGTCATTTACAGGTTTTTTTGGTATTTCTGATATCAAAGCTGAACTTCCTCTTTCCACATAACTGAGTATGTTAGGTCTTATAATGTCTTTTCCTACAGTTTTGGTCGCTGAGTTGATTTGTGTCTTGAAAACGGTAGTGGTAGCTTTCTTTTGATTTGAGTTGTTTGGTGAACCTGACTCTTCTCTTTTTCTCTTTTCTGGGTAGTTATCTTTGTTTTTCTTTACTACTAATTTATTGTATCTTATGAATGCTACATTTCCTTTTTTCTTTTCTTCTTCAACCTGTAACTGTAGCTGCTTGCGTTTTTCTAGCATTTCTTTAGAATAATCTTCCTTAATGTATATTCCTTGTGGAAGTTTGGACTTGTTTCGCAATATCAGGTGCTTTTTCCATAGCGTAGTAATAGTGACTACGACCGGGCGGTTTTTGTTGTCGACTTGTTTCCCAATTCTGTATATTTTACTGATTTCATTACTATCGAAGTGTATTTCCATGTCTATTATGACGTCCTTGATGTAATCCACAAGCTCACATTCGGTTTTTCCTATTTCTTCTATTCCAAAAAATACTAAATTATTTTTCCTTTTTTCATCTTTCAAAAACTTTACTTCCATTTCTAATTCAGATATTTTTGTTTTGAGGCTACTATTTTCTTCCATAATAAGTTTCATCTTTTCATCAAGCGCCTCCATTACATTTTTCGTAACTGAAGTTGTTATTAGAAGAGCCTGATTATTAAGTTTCTTATCTAGTATTGATATTAGCTTATCCATATACTTTTCCTCCATTTTTTTTTTTAGGGAAATTTTACTGTTATGGCAGCACTGTACTTTAGTTGGCAGCCCTAAATTCTGTTTGGCAACACTAGGTTCCGTTAAGTAACATTTAATTCTGGTAGGCAACACTTTTTAATGTCACTTCTTGAAAGTTGTCTATGGTGTGTTGTTCACTTCCCTTCAATGATTTTGCAATTTTAGGTTATGTTTCAAGAATGTTTGTTGTACAATTTTTCACTTATGTTGGTTTCCACTGTTTTTACTTCTGGATTTTGCCCGTTATTGTTTTGTTCAGCAATCTTAGGTAAAATACGGTTGATTACACTTGTTTTTGCACACAACTCGAGTATATATTCGCGGAGAACGTTGACGCACGTCCAATCAGTTCAATGACCGGAACCGGAACCCAGATGGTTAGTGCTTGCTATAAATTTCCCAGTACGCGATCAACCCGAGTTCGATCCCCGCCAGCAGCAATGAAATTGTCAATTGCAATTTTAAGTGCTGATTTACTACGTGCTCGGCCGTGTAGGAAAATATCGTGAGGAAACCTGCATGTCTAAGAAATAGGAAAAATATATTTCGAAGACATATTTTTATTTTTTTTAAAGGATAGGGTGACAAACGAGCACACAGTCCACCTGATGGTAAGTGGTTGCTGCGGCCCATAGACATCTACAAATCTCTCAAAGACTATCCTCGATTACAAATCAAAATGCAGATGCGTTGTCACCCGTGAGGACTTAGATGGAATGCCTCGTTTCCAGTAAAAAGGGTCTCCGGTTCTCTACACTCACGATACGAAACACAGCAGCAATAAACTACTAGTTTACGCTGGTATTCTGTGAGAGCGTGGTACTTCCCTGGTCGAGCCTACCCATTCGTGCTACAACTATACTACTAATATAACTGCAGCATGGCTTTACCACGTATAATAACACACATGTAAAGTTCGCCAACAAGCACTGGGGCAGCGCGCGGACACCTCCTAGCCTCCAATACCTATCAGAAATGAGGGGAGGCCTGTGCCCAGCAATAAATTGTATATAGGCTGTAACTTTAACCTTAACATATACATATAAAACGTCTCCATAAAGTGAAAAGTATGTACAAACTGTACACCCTATTTCACACTAAGGGCTTGAAATTGCACCACTTTTCGAAGTTTAAACATTCATAATTTTTTCTTCATACAACTTTGAATACCCTCCGCCCTGCCTGTGAGGGTTTGTTTTGAGTCAATCGCCCTACAAAATAAAAAGTTTCATAGAACCACCCTTTTTCACCCTCTTAGTGTTTTAATTTTCCAAAATATTTTCTTTTTTGCCTACGTAATATAAAGAACTATTGTCCTAATTTCACACTTCTTTGTCGAGTAATATGGATTGTACCTCTTAATATAATATTTTTCTTACAAACTGCATTTTTTGTCTTACATTAACCTTATGGATACAGTTTTTAAACAAAAAAAATGGATATCTTATTATTTTAATTCAAGAGTATTTGCAACAGTTCTCAAATAAGTAACAACTATTCATTAAATAAGATAAAATTTTATATTTATAATGTTTTAATGTTATATTTTATGTTATTTCGAATATTTTATGTTCGTGGCGTAATGGCTTAGCAATGAGTGGCTGCGCTGGGGGCCGCGTATTCGAATCCCGCACGGAACAAGTCTACGGCCTAAAAATGATTGTTCCGGGTCTGGATGTTTTTCCTTGTGCAATTTATGTTTGTAAATTGCCTTCATAATATAGGAGAAAATCCTAGTGTGGGGGGTAACGTTTTAAAAAAAAACTATAAGCAACTTACTTGCAAAAAAATTTACTGTGGCTGCAACTCTGACTGAAAACTTGAGCTGCATACTTCACCTTCATTTTAGGCAATTTATCTTGTTGCACATGATGAATTGTTAATTTGTTTAACATTCTTAAATCATCTTCTTCAGCATCAATTTCTAAAAGCATTTTTAAATATTCCCATTTTGCCATCATGACTTCCCCATTGAAAATGAATCTTATATTTTTACTAATACAACTTAGTCCCTTTAATAAATGGGGAGGATCATAAATATGGAATAAAGGTATATTATCAATTTCTATTATACTGCTTTTGTAGAGTTTATTATGCCTTAAATATTTTTCTTTTGTATCTTTTAAAAGAGAATTAATTGCAGATACATTAGATGTGCCTTGGCCACAAATTATAGCGACAATAATTAAGCCACATTCTCTTAATCTTCTAAGTATATAAATAACGAATGCTTTCAATATAATATGGCTTTTAGTTGCACTTTGCAGAACTGGTAACAAACGGCTGTTTGTATTTGCTCTTTATCCCTTTTATCATAAAAAAAGACAATGGTCTGTCTGCAGTTTCCTCAGTATCTCTTTCAAAACCAATTATCTGATCAAAACTCATATAATAATATAAACCAGAAGTTAAGGCAATCTCATCAAACATTAAGTTGCATAGCCTTTGTTCAGGTGTCATTTTAAACATTTTTTGTTTAAATTATTTAGAATATTTTCATTCAACCCTGGTTCAAACACTATAGTTTTAAGGATTTTCTGTAGAGTATGTTTGGATGGTAGTACTAAAATTTTGGTTAAAAAGTTATAAACCCTAGAACTTTGTTTTAATATTGATAATGCAAAATTTTTCTCTTTTAGTAGTAAACTTTCCGCCTTTTGGTTTCTGTAGATATTTCAATTGAAGTTTCATAAAAGGCGATATTGTTTTTGGCAGCTTTATCAATTATGTTTATTAAGCTTTCATTTCCGCTTACCATCTCTGCTACACGGTAGGACTTTTTAACATCTTTGCACTTATTTTTGTAATTTCAACAGCCTCATTTTTAATAGTTGGTAAGTCTTAAAGTTTTTAATCTTCTCTATGTAAAAGACTTTCTTCTTACTTTCAGCTGAAAGCAAACAGAATAAAAAAATATATTTTTCGGTTAAAATATATTACAAATGAATGTCAGTCATTCAATTGCCTTTTATAAGATATACTAACTATTGCCAGTGGCTTAGCTCAGACAATAGTAGATTTTTTATATTTAGAAAAAGGGTGGCAAACAAGCACACAGTCCACCTGATGGCAAGAAGATACTGTGGTACATGAACATCTACATTTATCTGCAATTTAGAATCAAAATCCAGATGCATTGTCACCCATGAGGACTATGATGAAATGCCTTGTTTACAGTAAAGAGTCCCCAGTTTAAATCACTATAAGAAACACAGCAGCATAAAGCTGCTATTTCACGCTATTATTGTAAGAGTGTGCTCATACACTGGTTGAGCTGACAAATTCGTGCTACAAGAATTAATATAGCTGCAGCGTGGCTCTACCATGTTCAGTATTTCTAAAAAAAGCCTTCATAAAATCAAAGTACATTTCTTGCTTTAAAAAATTATGAGACTCTCAGGTACAATCATACTCCCTAATCCATTCAAAAATCATTCCTAGAGAGAATTTATGCTAAAAAGGTTATTTGCAGCTTCAACTATGCAAATTCCATGTTTCTCACTTCAATAGTTACCTAATAATCAGTTAATCCATCTATTTCACTTCATTTATACATAAGTATGGGATAATAGTATTGTTTAACCTAATGGAATGCGATAGATTTTTATATACCCTTAGTCTTTTCTGTATAAGCAAGTCAATGCAAATTTGTATACATCCATTAAAAATGGCAAATTGTAAAAATGTAATTCAAACATTGTTACAAAATTTGTCATATGATGATACGGACAAGTAGCTTTTTTTTTTAAGTTAATTAATGATAAATTGATAATATATTTTACCGAAATAACCCTGATCAGTTAATATGTTATTCATTTTATATAAGAAATGGAACATATTTGTTAATTTTTCTATTAGATCACATACACTTGAGATACAGGTTTATTTTAGTTCAGGTGCCTGTTATAGTAGACTATTTAAATTATATATATAATAATTTAAAGTAGGACATTATTTTAATTAATTGTACAGTTTATTGAAATAAAAACTATTAAATAAAATTTCAACATTGACCTACTACTAAATGAATATAACAAAATTCACGAAAAATGTGTCCCAGTTAACCGATATTAAGTGTTGGCACACATATAGAAATATAAAAAACTATAACATCCTAGTTCAAACCACATTGTCATTATAAAACTACTGAATTTTACTTGTGACAATTTATCAGCCTATTGATTTCAACTAAAGGTTGCACTATTTTCACCTTATGAAGATTTTAGTGAAAATTATCGGTATGGTTATTTGTTTTACAATTAATATGAATTCAAATTAAATGCTAGTTACATTTCTATGCATAATATTACTTTTAAATGATTAAATATTAGTAGTTCTTATGGATTATAAATATAAATGGTTTTTGTATGTTTTCACAATAGACAGTATGGCATTTTGGACATGTATTTAGTTGCTCGACGAAACTTATTTTTGCATTTTGAAACTTTTTTGGCTGGGACAATAGTTCGGACCCCAGTTTCATTTAGTAATAAGTCACTGTATATAAGCATCTAAAACAGAAAAAGAACCAGACACAGGTGGAACTCACTTCAACAAACACAATATGTTCAAATCTAATTTATTTTATGTTATTATAAGATAATATTTGACGATACAGCCAATTTATATTCAGCAGACATACTAACTAAATGATACATATTACTTGATACAATTTTCACTTACCTCTTTGTTGTCGAGGTTTAGACTGTTTTCTAATTTTATACACAACCTTTGAAGTAGAGGCCTTTGGTAAAGTTTCTGAAAAAATATAGTGTATCATTATGCTTGAGTAAAAGATGCCAAAAGTTTTAATCGACAAATGCTTTTATTAATTATTTTTTTTAATTTTTATTTAACAAGTACACTTACAATACACATATATGACATAATCACAAAAACATACACATTTCTATAATCTCTGATATGTATATCAATAACAAGTGTACATAACATTCATTTTTTTACATGGTAGAGCTACACTGCAGCTATAGCATGAATGGGTCGGCTGGACTGGGGAAGGACCACGCTCTCACAGAAAACCAGCATAAAATAGCAGCTTGATGCTGCTGTGTTTCATATGGTGAGTGTAGAGAACCAAAGACCCATTTTACTGGGATCGAGGTATTCCATCTTACTCCTCAGGGGTGACAACGCACCTGCATTTTGATTCTTAATTTATTCCAAATGTAGATGTCTGTGAGCCACAGCATCTACGTACCATCAGGTGGACTATGTGGTTGTTTGTCACCCTTATCCTATAAAAAAAAGATTGATTCATGCAATTTTGGGTTAAATACTCATTAATTGAAACATTCAAGATCAGAATAGTGCCACTCAGTAGCAATTACATTAAAGTATGTGCCCATGAGCATTAGAAGAAAACAAATCGCCATATTGAGTGGGAAATATGTCACTGGGGAACAGGGGGTATAATCAAGAACACTGCACATAACCAGGACCAGGCACTCTCAGTGTTCATACATTAGACATGTGTAAGTGTACTCAACTAATAACAAGCTTTAAATGAAAAAACTACCTTCAGTAGCATGTGAAATTTCAGTATGAATATTCATCATCGAAGATCCAGTTGAAACCATTCCCAAAAACCAGATTATATTGTATAAACATATGTATAATTAAATTTTGTACTCCCTAGGTGCAACCCTAAGAATACACCAACCTTAGATATCATCATGAATAAGGCATGCCTTTAATACTTATATTTAAATATTTACCTTCAGTAGAACTTGCAGTTTCGGAGTTTTCACTGTCCAAAGCTCTATATTGATGAGCTGAAATAATTTTAACACATATAAATTCCACTAAAGAGAAGATATTAAATTAAGTTTGCAATAAATTCACACAAAATTTTGTCTGGTATAGTTTATGTATGAATGTTCAGAATATTTTCAGTTTTTGGAAGCTTACATATTTAGGTAAAAATTATTATTATTCTATGACAATTCAGGCAAGTTTTAAAATTCATTTTCTTAGAATAAATTCATTTTCTTAGAATTCGTGGTAGCTCAGTGCGTTAGCGCTCGCTGCATATTTCACAGTACACAAGCAACCTCGATTCCCGCCGGCACCAATGAATTTGTTAATTGCAAATTTAAGTGCTAATTCACCACATACTCTGCGGTGAAGGAAAATATCGTGAGAAAACCGGCATGTCTGAGAAATGAAAAACAATATTTCGAAGACCAAATGTCTTATTAGTCCGCCAACATGCATTAGGCCTGCACGGAGGACTTTTTCTTGCCCTAAAACCTCAGGAGTGAGAGGAGGCATGTGCCCAGCAGTGGGACCTATATAGACTGTTACTTTACTTTTTTAGAATTATGGTATTCTTTATATTATAATTTTCAAAATTTATTGACACATTGCTTTTCTGTCCTAAAAAAACCCAATGTCTAACAAATTTTTTATCTAATGAGGGGTTTGAGTTCAAGTTTCCGGTTTATAAAGTCACTTTTATTCTTGTGGTTCCATTTGGAGGTGTTATACCAATGTGTTTTTTGCGGGTGGCAGATTGCCAACCATTTTTTATTATTCAGAGCTAGTGGATTCGCCTATGTGGGTTGGCTATAGACATCCGGTACTTGATTTTGATAATTTTTTTAGTCTAGGAAGCTTATTAGGGTTAAGCTTGAACATATTACACTGTTTTTAGATGTCGGAAATGCGTTTTGAATTAATTACAATAAAAATAAATTTCACTAAAAATAGCAATAATGAAACGCAAATATGTCCATTTGCTTTTTTAACACAGATACACTCATAAAAAAGTTAATCACTCGGACCCAGACAATCAATTTGTGGCTGGAGATGGGACTCATGTACAATAAATTGAGTCATAGTGGAGAGCAGTCAAGAGGTTTTTCAGAAAACAAAATTATAACAATTCACATTACATTATTTCATTTACCGCTATCATAGCAGAGTTTAGGGCAACTTTATAGATAAGATTGGTTGAATCGGTTCTAAAACCGAATTAACACACCCCGACTCCACGTAGTCTCGTCTGCCCTACCCCTACAGTGTTTTTGTAAAGCCGTAGGCACGGAGGGAGAACAGCCCCCGCCCGCTGTAGCAAATTGCAGACATAGGTGCCTGTGATTTGCTACGCAAGGGCGAAGGGGCTGCACTTCCCACAGTGCCGAAGCTGATGCAGAAGTAACTTTGCGTCAATATTCCTTCGGGGGGGGCTTCTCATGACCCCCTCCCCTCCCCCCACCCCCTCTCAACAGCGTACGCGAGTACCGGACGTCTATAGTTTAACCGCCTATGTTACCACTATATAGAAATTACACTTCTGCACTACATACCTACTTATCCAGAAAGCAAGCAACATACTGCTATATACTTATATAAATTTAAAAGTGGGATAAATGTTAGCAGTAAGCCTTCTTCCAACAGTGCGAAACTTTTGTTCAAAATGGCTGTCACATATATGTAGATATTTCTTAATTAATATATATGAAGTTCCTCTGAGTTTCGTTTCCTCAGACAATACTGCAAACCACATATTAAATCTAGCTTCGTTATAATAGCCAGGTTTTGGAAAACGATGCATAGGTACTGAAAATAAAAACAATAAGGGTTTGTTATGTTCCTATTGTATCCTAAAATAAGATATATATTAATTTACCCAAATACTTACCATCTAGCTTACAGCCAAAATAACACAATTTCGTAGGCATTGCATATTCAAATGTAGAAACAGTCATATAAATTAAAGGAAAAACCAAAATCCGTAATGAATATTGAATGCCAAATTCGTGCGTAGTAGAAACTAGAAAATCTAGTCCGTAATGGGTGCCGAGTTTATACCTATAAATGTATATTGTAGATACAGTAGAAAAATCCAGAGTCCGTAAGTAATACACAGTCGTTAAAATAAAGTAATTCACTGATACAATCTCCATGACGCAAAGTTACACCAAAACACAGAAAGCAGAAAGCATAGATAAATAAATATGTAGCAAGCTAAAAGGCTGGCAGAAAAAGCTGGCAGAAAGTCAGAAAAATTTCAAAACTTTTCTACCGGCCTGCAATGTCAAAAGTTGCCATAACCAGAATTACAAATTCTGGTTATGGCAACGGAAATACAAAAAGGTAGTGATTTTTAAATGTTTTCAAATGTTATAAAGTAATTAAAAACATTTGAAGAGAAGTAGGTTTTTAGTTTATTATATTTTTAGTTATACTTTTACTGTAAAGTTTGCAATAATTGAAAACCAAAACAAAACACAATTAATATAATTCTTTATATGGCCACCCAACCTTTTTAACACCGCCATCTATTAGAATTTTGTATAAAACGTTTACTTAAGTTGCATGACGGTGTCCTAAAGATGGCGCTCAGGCGTCACACAAAATTTCGGTGTTAGGTTTGTATTGAAGTTTCACCCCACTGGATCCCACAACACAATTCCATTTCCAAGTTCCATAGTCCCATAGTGGTAATTCCGATACAGACCGACTCATCGACCACGTCCAAATGGCTGCAGACTCCGTGCTACAACAGGTCTCATCCGCAGAGATCGTGTTCATCGGTGATATTAACGCCCACCACGCTGCATGGCTTGGTTCCCGTTTAACCGATCATGCGGGTAGATCTGTTTATGAATTTTCCTTGGTATATGGTTTGATACAACTGGTTCATTCACCTACTCAGATGCCATATATGCAGAATCATTCATCTTCCCAGTTGAACGTTATGCTGATCTCTCATCTGGACGGATATCAGGTTTCCGTCGATGACACTCTTGGCACTCACACTCTCATCGCAGTTGCGGTCTGCAGGTCGCCACCATGTTTGGAACTGGTCGGCTGATTGACACAAGGCGCGGTCTTATTTTGCATCCTACCTTTGGATAGGGTTTGCTTCTCGCCGGATGATACAAACTTGTCTCCGAGGCTTTCGCTGATATGGCACTTCAGGGGATCGAAATTTTTATTCCATCATCTACATTACCTATCGGAGGCAGAATTTAGCCATGATTTGGTCACTCCTGTCGAGCCATAAGCAGGAGTGCCACCGGGCCTTGGCTGACGCATCAATGTCTCGGGATGCAAACACCAGCGCTCTTAAAAATAAGTATAATTCTGCCAACAGGTTCTTTAAGAGTTACTACCAAGGCAAAGTCAGAGCACATCTGCATTATTGGCGAGGAACTATTTTGAATTCATTGGGGAACACGTACCTTCTGGTCTCTCACCAAGGCTGTCCAAGGGAACTTCTGTCAGCCATCTGAACCATCTCTGCACAAAGAGGACGACTCACTAATCCATGTCGCAAAGGAAGAAGCTAATCTGCTAAGCTCCCTCTTTGCGTCCAACTTCAATCTCGATGACGGAAGAACACAATGCCGACGATCCCGCTGTGTAAGTGATCCATGCAGGCTGTACTGTTTACATAGTGCTCAGTGAGCAAGGCACTCCCCTCCCTGTATATATTTTGATGAAAACCTGTGCTCCGGAGTTGACACCGAATTTAACACATCTTTTCCGGTATTCCTACTCCCTAGATGTAGTTCCGAACTCATGTAAAACAAGCTCACATCCGTCCAACTACAGGCCTGTGACCTTATATATTTACCTTACTATACTACTCTTTATACTGACCTTATATAATAATGCTTTAGTGTCATAGACCTTACTATTATATGTCTGTAATATATGGGACTTCAACCCACAACTCTACTATCATAATGCTTCAGTATCATTGACCTTACTATCAAAAGCCACTAATATAGGACTATAACGTGCAACAGTACTAGAGGTAGTTGTTCAACCGATCACCCCATATATATATATATATATATATATACTATATATTATATATATATATATATATATATATATATATATATATATGTATACACCCTTACATTTGTCTTAGTCCTCACGGGTGACAACGCATCTGCATTTTGATTCGTAATCGATGATCGATGTAGATGTCTATGGGTCACAGCAACCACCTACCATCAGGTGGACTGTGGGCTCGTTTGTCACCCTATCCTATAAAAAAATATATATGGGACTTCAACCCACAACTCTACTATTGTAATGATTATGCGTCATGGAGACCTTCTATAATAATGCTTTAGTATATCTATACCTTACTATCTTAAGTCCCTAATATAGAACTATACATTGTGCAACAGTACTATAAGTAGTCGGTCACCCGACCTTACTCATTGGACATGCTCGTCCCAAACATTATCGGCCCCATAATAACCCGCCAGTTGATCCACATGGACGATCTTAGGAGTAACCTTTCTGTATTCGGTAGGGTACGTCATTGATCCTTGTCACAATCCAGTACGGTCCGTTGCATTTAGCTTGAAGCTTAGGGGATTTCCCTTTGCTGCGAGCTGGATTGTGCAACCAACCTAGTGACCCTTCGTCGAACCCCTTGTTGTTCATTTTGCGGTCATACCGGGTTTTCATTTTGTCAGACGTTTACCGTCCCGATTGTCTGACGTGCTCATAAATTTCATTCGTTTTGGTCCGCAAGCCTTTGGCATAATCGGTTATACTGCGTGGGGCGGATTGCGTTGATCAGGTCCTGGGGATCAGATCACAGCAATCCGCCCCAGTCATAATTATCCTCCAAAGTTTGCAAAAGCTGGTGTCACCGATGTACTTTAGTGACCAGCACCTCGATATGATAACAAACACGGTTGTATGTGTTGTCCCTCTCGCAACTTGACCTTCTGGATTTTCGAACTGCAACAGCATTTCAAGGCAGCATGATCAGTTTGTAAGTGAAATTTCTGCCCCAGAAGATATTTGCTAAAATGCTGCAACGACTTTACCACAGCAAGCAATTCCCGTCTTGTGACACAATAGTTCCTTTCCGGCTTCACGTGCTACCAGCAATCTCCTTAGCCGCTGACGGATAGGAAATTCTTCCCTGTGTTTATTTTGTGTTGAACTAAGCCAGTCTTCCCTATGTCAGCATCGTTTGACGAGAAAACATCGGCGTACTTGAGTAACAACTTCTTCGGCTTGACCATTTCGTTCGGAGATTGAACGCTGCGACAGTCTTCTAAAATTGTGGTCACTCTTGTTTGTGCATCCTTGCTGAGGGATATCCCACTCTATAGATATTGGCATCGACGCAACCAATCCACTTCCTCACAAGTAACAACCAGTGTACCTTTATCTATAATCTGTCCCTGGTCACAAAAGTACAGCACACGTACTCCTGAGATGTCAGTGGTTCTGACCAAAGTTCGAGCCACTTTCCATGGAAGGTCATTGTCTACCTTTTCCACAAGTACACAACGATGACCATGCCAAGAATTCCGAGGAGGATCTCAGCGGAAGAACAATCTTCTTAAGGCTGTACACGGTAACGCCACGAAAAGTTCCTCTTGTCCACATTATAAAAACACCTTGCTTAACGTCGATCTCACAACAATTCTTACTCATAAAGTCTACGCCCAGGTTGCAGCCGTCCATTGTATCAGCCACGATGACATTATGCAGGTAGATCGTGTTGCCTAGCTTCAACTCTATCTCCATCTCTCTACGGATGGGTAAACACTGACCGGTGGCTGTTACCAAATTAATGCGTTCTCGGTTGTATGCGTAGTCCCAAAGGAACTGACTTATAAGTTGGGAACTGACAACCGTACGAGAGGCTCCAGTGTCTATGGTCACTTTGCATGGCATTCCGTTGACATCGCCCTTGATGATTAGGGTGTTCCCATCATGGATTTGTGAGATCGAGGCTCTTTTAACATCAGCCAGAACCCGCCCCACAGTCCTGGCTTTTACTCGTTTCCCTGCTACTGCTGGGCGGTGCTGTTATCCGCACTACCCTCTCGAGATCGATCACCTTTCCTTCTACAGTTTGCTTAGAGTAGCTGGATCGAAGATGGCCCCTTTCCCCACAGCCGTAACACCTAGGGCTGTATCCTTTATGGCGGTTGCGAACTGTAGCTGCTACAACCTCCCTGACGCGATGACGATCTTGCCGCACGTCTTCCACCTCCAGTGCATGGGCCAAGGTGTCCTTCAGCGTCTCGTAGTATTTTGGCCTAACAGTAGCTCTGCCTTCGAGGTCGCGGATGACTTCGAGGTCGATGAATGTCTGCACTACCCTTCAATGAGCGGAGGTCCAGACCGGTATGCTTTATTAACCAGCTTCTCCGCCTCAAGGGCCCACTATTGCAGGTTTTCGTTGATGCATTGCACGCGATCTTTAAGCTACGCACGAAAGACGTGTTCCAGGTGAGCGTCGCCATATCTCACCTCCAATGCTTGAAGAAGCTGCTGCCGAGAGGGCTGGTTGGATATGTTTAAAGCAATCATTTGAAACAATATATTATGAGTATTTTAATCAAAAGGAAGAACTTACCACATTTTTTGAGATATATACTAGTACAATAGATAGAAAAATCAATTATAATATTTTTTGGTCATATTGGTATGAAAAATAAATAAGGTCGGGTCCTTATTTGATTTTGTTATACGTTGGACGAAGTTTGAAGTTGGACGTTATGATACGACATCACCGAGGCATTCTATCTTAGTCCTCAGGGGTGACAGCACATTTACGTTTTGAATTTTAATCTTCGATAGGTGTGAATTTGGGCGCAGTACATACCATTAGGTGGACGGTGTGTTCGTTTGCTACCTTTATTCTATAAAAGAACTTGATATGTCCCGATCCTCACAAAATTTCGGATACACTTATTTTGATCGGTAGAATGAACTCATATTGATAATATTTTACGACACAATAGGTACCCGATACGCCGCGCCCATCTTTACCCGGCCTTGAAATGCTTGGATATTGAAAAGATAGAGGATCGGAGGAAAACATGTGAAACAGAATAATTTTTATTCAATGTATGTAGATTATTAGATAATACTTGTTTTGTTGTTCGTATTGATTTACATAATATTTAAATATATACAATATTTAAAAACACATTTAAAAAACTAAAACTAAAAACTAAATTAATCCTACAATTCTTCTCCCCGCGGTATACTTAACCTTTGAGCAAGAAAAGAACTACCCCCCTTACCATCAGCAGCAACAACCAGTCACGGGTACAGTTAGGTTCTTTCTTTTTATATAGAAGAGGGGGCAAACAAGAATGCATCTCACCTGATATTAAGTACCGACCGCCACCCATAAACAACTGCATCACCAGGGGAATCGTAGGTTCATTGCTTACTAGCCTTTTAAAGAAGAGTAGGTTCTTTTCTTGAAGCTTTCTCAGTCATATCGGTCCGGTAAAATGCTGATGGTAGTTGATTTTACACGGGAGTTGTGAGAGAAAGAAAACTTATTGTAAATCACACAGTAGTGGACCGCTAATTATCCAAATGATAATGATGGTATCGCGAGTTTTGATAGTGAAATTGAGTGGCCGGAATCAGTCCGAACAATTCCTTAGAAGGCTCCCTGTGGTAGATGCGATAAATACACAAAGAGATCCAACATCTCTTCGCAGTGCCAGTCAAGTCAGTCAAGCCGATCAGAAAGAACTCGGTCACCGATGATTCGAATCGCTCTGCGCTGAATGCGATCAAATGGAAGAAGCTTGTCCTGGCGTGCTCCGTACCAGAGATTAATTATTAACCTTTTAGCGGTAAAAGCGCCATCTTTAATCTTCTGGGGATTGAACTGGACTAGATTTAGTCCACGGAAATCTAAATAATAAGGCAATAGAAGTCGTAACACGCTACGCCACTGCTGGAAAAGATACGATATTAACATTTAATAGCGAGTACATCACTCACCTTCAATTTGCCGACTATATAGTCCTTATGGCAGAATCGCTGGAGGACCTAAGCAATAATAATAATAATGCTCAATAACCTCAATGATGTCTCACAACGGATCGGTCTTATGATGAACATGGACGAAACTAAGATCATGTTTAATGTCCATGTCACACCTATGCCGGTAGTTGTTGGGAGCACTATGCTCGAAGGTGTTGACAAGTACGTTTACCTGGGACAAATAGTCCGACTTCCAACTTCGACCGAGAGGTCAATAGACGGATTCAACTCGTCAGGTATGCCTCAAACTCTGAAAACTAGATTGTATAACCAGTGATGGACCTATGGAACGGAGACGTGGTCCTTCACTGCTGGCCGTATGAGAACGCTTAAGATCGTTCAGCGAGCTATGGAGATGACTATGCTCGGAGTTTCTCTGCGTGATAAACTCAGAAATGCGGATATCCGCACTAGAACCAGAGTGACCGACATAACTCAACGGATTAGTAAGTTGAAGTGGCAATGGGCCAGCCATATAGTTCGAAGAACCGATAACCGATGGGGAAAAACACGACGTGTTGCACTCCGGGAGTGTCGGCAGAAGTGAAAACTTTAATATTAACGTTGTGCATTTTTGATATTTTGGAATGATTAGGGAATAATTTTGCACGAATTGCTTTAACTATCACACACGAACATACGCGCAGGCGTCCTGCGCCGCCTAAACGAATCAGCAGGCGCAGGAATACATTTTCGCCGCGCCGTAGAAAGAGAGGGGATACTTCCTCTCCTACGCCGCGCCGGCTGTCTCTCTCTCTCTCTCCATCCTTCTTACGCATTTTCGATCAGGGTCACGTGTCCTGACGCTTAACATTTTTTACCCATTACAAAAAAGTGTACAACGCCGCTAAAGAAATTTTCACTTCAAAAAGTTCACGAGTGGCAGCCTCGTACCGGTAGGCATAATATAGGACGACCCCCCACTAGATGGAGTGACGACCTGGTAAGACATGCAGGAATTCGATGGATGCAGGTGGCTCAGGACCGTGTTTTGTGGCATTACTTGGCCTATGTTCAGCAGTGGACTTGTGAAGAGCTGTAATGATGATGATTGGGTTTTATTTCAGTAGTCGATTTTTTATTACCTTGCTCACCTAAGCTTCGACTATGTTATAAATATCATTCTAATTATTAATTTTGAAATAAATAAATTTCACCTGACCTAGCCGATCAGTCGGTGTACCATTCCAGTACATCGTATCGTACCTTATCTTATTATACAATAACAAGGTACTTACGTGTAAGTTAGATGAATAACTAAAATTATTTTTAGACTTTTTTATTGATGTCCAACGCCCATGATGGCAATATCCGGCAGTAGGAACGAGAGAAATGCAAAGATACGGATACAAAGTTAAATCAAAATGGTTTAGTAATAAAATAAAAATATGCAACATATTTATATAAGTAGATGTAGTAATGTATATACTCAGTAGGTGCGTCTAATGAATAAATAAAAAGTAAATCATAGGTATATATACTTTATTACGCAATCTTTGACTAATGCTATTTTATTGAAAACAACTTAGTTATAATATTCACGATGTATCGGAATTATAACACAAAACGTAATTTTCGCACATTGGACCTCGTAGAATATAAAAATTTGTGTTTTTTTACATGATTTATAGGGAAAACTGTGCTAGCAGTTCTTATTAGTTTGTTGTGAAAACTAACACTACATTTCATTTTAGTTATATTTACTTCTTTATTTCTCACGTGAACGACACAGTATTGAAATTTATATTTTACAAATTGTTACGAGACAAAACATAAGCAAATAACTTTCAAAAACCGACAATTCTGTTAATGTTATATAAAAAACGAACAACAAACTTACTTTTGTACCTACTATTATTTTATTAATGTTGTGGTCTCTTGCACTCATTACTCGTCTTCGCGTCTATTGCAGACACATAATTGTACTATTTGGTTTTTAATTTTTTGTTGTATTTAGTTTCTAATTTTTTGGCCCTTAAAAGCGTTATTTAAAATTATGCCTACATGTCGTCGCTATACACAATTATTTTTGATAATATTTGAATTATTTTATTTTAATCCCTTCTGCTATGGTAGGTACTGTCATAGAGTATTGGTGGTAATATTATCAGCACACACCGACTCTGAAGAAACCGGTATTGACTGCTGACACTCACATTGATTTTTTACAAAGGAGTCAAAACGTTCCTCATTTTGACTCCTTAGTATTATATATCAATTACGTGTCTTTACCAGGTTATCCATAGCCAATATGTGTTCTTTAATTTCATTTAGGGCTGATTTAGATTTATTGGACAAAGTTTAACGGGAGTCAGAAAGTAGTAAAATTTCTGATTTAAGGCACTCTATGTCAGTCTCATAACATTTTTAATGTTATCCATATCAATTGAATACAATTTAAGTTCATACATCAATGCTTGCTTTTCTTTACACACATTTACATAATTTTTGGTAAGGTCAATGTGGGCAAATCCGTCTACGGGGCTATTCCATACCCATGCGTTTACTATTCATTCCAGAATAGTTACGCTGTTACTGGTTCGGTTTATTAACTATGATTCATAGATGGAGCAAGGTTGTCTACAATTGTCAAAAAATGCATTCGAAGTTTAGTTGTGCTACGAACTCGAAACTCAAGTGTTGCGTGCCGCCGTTTCTTATAAGGTAACTATTCAATTTTACAAGTTACAACTTTCTGACTATGCATAACATGTAGTTTAATAAGTGTTTCAACGGATTTTTCTATTTGTTTTGAATATAAACTAGTAGATACAGAAATAATTGTTATAAAAAATATGTAACCTCAATACGTTCAAGTGGGAAAATCCGTCTAATTTCGAAGGGGCTAAATCGTCATATACCGGAATTACCCCATTGCAGATGTAGTCAACCTTTTTCATCCTTCCTATTTTTAGTATTATACCTACTTTGAAAGTCCACTGGTAACTAACAATTGGGTCTTCGAAATATTTTTTTTTTGTGTTTAATTGATTAGGAAGATTATGTATTTGTATGAAGATTAGGTATTTATTCATAACAAACTGTTCTTAGTTTATTTTCGGTCTAATTAAGAATTTATGTTAAATTCAAAATCATTATTGTATCTCGAACCAAAAACACGCCGACAGTTGCCGAACAAAATCCGATCGGGTGTGACGTTACTTTGGCAATTTTTACTCATCGTAGCAAACTTCTGTAGTATAGAACTAGTTCAGACAGAAGTTAGTCTATACTACAGAGCCCTTGCTCGCGTGAGTATATGATATTCATAATACTCACCCGAGCCAGGGACTGTCCGACTCGTACTGACTACAATTCAAAACGTTCTGACAGTTGACCTTTGCGTTCCCGGGTCGCGCTTACCTGTTTAGATAGTCCCGCGACTCCTGCAGGCGTTTTTTTTTCTTATTTCAAAATTGATGCTAGTTGCCCATTTTACCCGTGAATATTGCGCTCACAAGTATAACATAATGCCGAAATGTCTTAAACTCAGAATATGATAGCTATTTTAATATTATTATTTTGTTTGTTTTCAGTTTTGTCATAATTACTAAAATAATAGTAATCATGGTGAGAAATTATAAAAGAAAAACAACAAAGAGTTCCTATAGCAAGGACAAGTTGCATGCAACTGTACTGGCAGTCCGAAATGGTACATTAACTGGATATAAAGCAGCACAACTCTACCAAATTCCACGGATGACTATCATGGACCATGTCCACAAAAAAAGTTCTTCAAGTACACTAGGGAGAAAAACTACTCTGCCTTTGTTGATTGAACAAAATCTCGCTTCCTGTCTCCGTACAATGGAAAAATATGGTTTTGGCCTTAGTAGGGCAGAAGTATCCCAGATGGTTGGAGTTGTTGAATACGCTCGGAAAACAGCGGTTGACCCATTTGTGGTTTATGAGTACTTTGATTTACTCAAAACAACTATAATGGAATTAGGTTTAGCAGACAAGCCTAATGCAATCTGGAACTTAGACGAGACCAGTTTTCAAAAGACCCTTCGAAAACCAAAATTGTAGGTCTCAAAGGCCATGCAGCAACGAGAGTTACAGCAACACCTGGGAGAGATAATACGACGGTGTTACTAGGTGCAAGTGCGATTGGAGAAAAAACACCTCCCCTAATTGTCTTCAAAGGAAAATATGTTTGGTACGCAAATATTATCTAACGGATTAAAAACAGGTGGCATTTGGCCTTTTAATCCTGCTGCAGTTGAGGAAACAAAATTCGATGCTCTGAAGTTGAGCCGCTGGAAGGAACACATAAGAACTAATAATCCTGCTTTGTCTGATAATGACCTTCCAGTCTATTATGTGATCCAGAGAACAGAACCGCATACATTGCTTTTCATAGCTTTAAATGTTTTCAATCAGAACTTTATAGCGACAGATAACCCAGGTTATATTAAGACTGGAAAATTAATGTTGATGAATGATGATATTGATGACAGCAGCGATAACTTAGATTTAAGACAGCCTATTGCAGAGAAGAATGTCACATTTAAGGAACTACTTTTGCAAAAAGTAAAGCGTGGTGATAACTCTGAAAAAATAAAACGCAGCAGGGTGGCACCAGGTGCTGAAGTCATAACTCATAACGACGTTATACAGTTGACTACTTAAAAATATTAAGAAAGAAAATTTTGGAAAACGAAAGAGCCGATCCAGTCCTGCACCTAAACGTACCGATGATGTCGTTACGCTAAGTAAAACCCTAAAAAGTAACACTGATTTCCAACCATTTATCGTGGAGAAAGTTGAAGACCTTCATCATTGTTTAAAAAATCAAATAGTCGACTCTCCTAAGATAAAAATTTTGTCAAACATTGTACTTAATAGTCCAACAGTGCCTGATGAGGAACGCTTATTAGCAGAACCTGGACTTTCGGGCACTCATAAAGTGAATACGCCTAGCAAAAGAAAAGTTATTAACAGATTTGCTGCATCATTTGAAATTAATAATAAAAAGAAAACAACTACTATAACACCGAAAGGCAAAGGAATCGGAAAAAAGAGCAAAAAGAGTATTGGTAAAGAAAATAAAAGACCATCCCCTCACGATGATAAAGAAGATACCTATGATGATTTTAAATTTCTCGGATATCGCAAATAGAAGAAACACGAAATGTCTTCCACAAGTTCAACTACTAGTGTATCTGGAACAATTAGTTCTCATAGTGATTCCGACATAATAAATGCTGTATCTGATTATGAAAGTAACGATGAATACCATAGCCTTTTATGAGACACAAAGTTATCAAACTATATTAATCTAGGACAGACAGAGGAGACAATTTTAATTCAAGACGAAGGGGCCAAAAATATAAATAAGCCAAATATTATAAGTAATAATGACACGGAGCACGAATACGAACAGACTGAGGAGACCTTACTCCAAAACGAAGAGACTGAAAACATAGGTAAAATAGAATTTATAAGTAATGAGAATAGTTATATGGAGCAGGACTATGAAAGCTATTCTGTGAATGACCATGTTCTGGTAAAATATTACGTTAAAAAAGTGGACATATTATGTTGACGTCATAGATGCGGTCTACGCCGACGAACAGACGAATGAACCGTACTTTTCAATAAAATTTTACAAAACAGTAAAGACACCGAAACTTACATTTAAGATGACAAGAATAATAGATCGAGATGAGGTTCCACAGAATTCTATAGTAAAAAGAATTAACCTGTTAAAAGATCCGGAAAAAAGAAATGATTTCTTTTTAAATGATGAAGATGATAGAGTATTCTTTTCCTAGATTTAAAAAAATTGATTGTGATTATTTTGTTTTTGTTTATGCGATCAATGATTGATCATATTTTTGAGGTATTTTATTTCTAATATTGTATTTTGATAACTTAAAGATTTATGTTTGTTAAGTAAGGATATTTTGTTAATTCTTAACTGTTTTGTTTATGCTATCACTGCTGATAGATCAGATAATTCTATTTCATTTCTAATGTTGTATCTTGTAATTAATTTAAAGTCTTAAGTGTGTGACGTAGTACCTAAGGATAAAAATAAAGAATCCTACAACTTTGAGTATGCTTTGTTGAGTATGTTGCATTTTTAACACTAATAATAATATGTCATTAATATAATATTATGTCATCATGAATAAAACCATTTTATTTTCGGAAACTGATTTTATTTTAAGCACTTAAGGCGGCGGTTCGCGCCGCAACAGAGACTGCAGACCGAGACAGGAGACCGAGACCGGGGACCGCGACAAGTCTCGGTCTTTTCTGTATGAACCGTAGGTCGAGACCGAGGCCGGAGATCAAGTTAATTACTTCGATTGCGATCGCATCAGTATCGAGAGTCTGCCGATGAAATCAGTAGTGTTTTATGTGACATGCATGATGATAAACCAAGTTGTAAAACTTCTATTGGAGGAAGAAGAAGACGATAATTCGCTCTTATATTATTTTTCCAAAAACAGAAATTACCTTTATGAATTTACAAATTAATGATACTTATAAATCAAGGCGTTTCACAGTTTTCGTCAGAAACAGTATTTTTAAATACTACAGTCATGTGCTTTTTGAACGAGACACTACTCGTCGGGGGCAGCGACTGTGTCGCTGTCTCGTCTCTCGCATATCTGTCTTTTGTCTGTGTCTCGCTCGCGAACTGCCGTGCCGGTCATATAAACTCTGATTTTTCATTCCGTAGAATTCTGACAGCTATCATTTTTTGACATGTCAGAGATTACAAACCTTTTTGGCCGGGCACATTTTTCAATTTCAATACGTGTCTGAACATCTGAGTCTATACATACATTTTATTTGTTAGTAAATGTATCCATTTTATTAAGTGCGGTACTCTACATGGTTTTACGGCGAGTGATAATTACGTCCCTTTTCATTACAAACAGTAAAAAATGCACAAGTAAAAATAACATATTTTTATTAAAATCTTTAGTCATCATTAATACTTATATCACTATCTTCATCATCGTCATCATCGCTGACATGAATTATTAAAGAGTCTGCGACTGTGTCAATGAAATCGTCGAGAGTGCACATCTTATCTTCTTCTTTGATTGTATGGCTGATACATTCTTGCCATTTATCAGGAGTAATACTACTTATACTTTCCAGTAATAGTTTTTTAACTTCCGCCATTTTAAAACTTCTGTTGTGTCTTGCGACATGCCCCTTCACTTGAGCCCACACCAATTCAATAGGGTTGAGCTCACAATGATATGGGGGCAGTCTAAGCACAGTAATGCCTTGTGCTGTGGCCATCTCGTCTACAATACACTGTTGATATTTGTATTTCTCCTGACCCACAATTTCCAATAAATTAACGTTTAGCATTTTTTCTTCAAAATTTAAATTTTTTGAAGTCAACCACGCTTGGATATCGCCTTTTCTCCATGCACTCGTTGGTACTTTTTCGACCTTCCTCGAATGATAGGGAGCATTATCCAACACTACTACCGAGTTTGGTTTTAATTTTGGAAGTATTTTTGTGAACCACTCCTCAAATACTTCCCCAGTCATCTCCTTGTGGTAATCTGCCAAGCCTTTTTTTTGCCTCAAAAACTAATAAACCATCTTCCAAAAATCCTTCTTCGCTCCCTATATGGCTAACTATAAGTCGCCCCCCTTTGCCTGTTGGTGCCTTAAGCCCTGTTGTCAAGCCATCGAGGAAAGCTTGTCGTGAAGATTGAATGTTGGTATCACACCACACTTTATTGACGGTATGTCCTGAAAATAAAAATATATTTAATATTTCACTTATACATGAGGACAGTTATATATGCATATAAATTGAAAAATATTACCTGTAAACATGGATTTCTTTATTTATTTATTCATTTTGGTAACAAAAATTTATTAACAAAGTTAATTTAAGTATTACATAAGTACAGAATTCGATTTCCGACTAATACTTTGAAGAAAAAGATAGGTTATAAAAAGTTAATTACCACATAATTCAATACTTGCCTTCGTTTACCCACGTTTCATCCTGGTAATATATAAGCCTGCCTTCTCTTCTATATTGTTTAATTTGGTGCAAGTATTTTTGACGCCATAGTACTATCTCCTTGCGATCTGTTAGCGCACTTCGACGTTTGCGACTTGTGTATTTAAAATTTAAATGCTTCAATACTTTTCTTAATGTTGATTTCGACATAACAGGCATGTCTGGATCACCAGTTATCTCTTGGTGAATCTGAAATAAGCATTTACATTACAGTTAAAATGTAGACAGGCAACACAGGTTAAAGTATAGTTTTAAAACAATGGGGGATGTCAGCAACGAGGTGTTAAAGAATTAGCAATAACTTTACCTTTTCAATAGTCGGAATCTCGTTCCTGTAGAAAAACGCGTGAACCTTTCGTCGAGTTGCGGCGAAAGTGAATTCGTCAAATTTTTGTATGAAAGATAGTTGAGGTCCACTCTTTTTCGGCTTTTGAAATTCTTTTGTGTCTTTATATTCTTTGGTAATTTTATAGACACTTGACAGACCCACGCCAGTCATCTCAGAAGTCTTTTTAGCACATTCCGTTGCACTCCAATCAGTTGTTTGCGGCCAATTTTCTATATTATATTTGTAAATATTTAGAATTATGGTCTTTTCGTTGGGCGTAAAAGCACCACGAGGACGCTTCTTTCTGGGAGAAAGAAAGTCTAAGCCTTGTGCTCTGTCAGATGGGGCTGCTTCCCGGGAAGGGCCAGGTTGTGGCTCCATAACGTTTATAAAAATCAACAAACGATCACAAAACGAAAGGTCAACAAGAAAAAACTTAACAGAATAACAGAAACTTAACAAATATAACAAGATAATAACAACAAATAGCAGCAAACACCGAGAACACATGCGCATTCGAGCATTCAAAGAAGTCTAATGAAAATCAATCAATGTGACAGACGCGACGTGACAGCTAACATTTTTTTAAAAGGTTTTTTAAACCTGGAATTAGTAGACAGTGATGCCAGCTAAAGAATAAAATATTAAGTAATTAAAGTTAATTAGATATATTGTTCGTGATATTGAAATATTTGTTATTTTTGTATTAGGTGACTTGTATAAGTAAATATTTAGATTTACCTTTTTGTAGGTGAAACATAAAAAATACGTAGCATTTTATTATTTATTGCCCTCAAATGGTTCAAATTTGTCTCTTTTTCGGTGGAGAACTTTTTTAGTAGCAACACTTACGAAATGTCAGAATTCTACGGAATGAAAAATCAGAGTTTAGTAACAGTCGGAATTTCCTGTCGCGGTCTCCTGTCTCTGTCGCGGCACGAACCGCCACCTTTAAGGTGCAATCACCTTAATTCAATTTTTAATACAACATGTGAAGTGCATCATTGTTTAAAATTATAATGTCTTATACCTAACCGAATTCATTAAAAATAACTCTGTTTATTTAAGTTAATACCATAAATACCATTGTCATAATAAGATAGGATTGTTTCAATGTACCTGAAAAATTAAACTGATAAGTAAAAATATTTAGTTTTCAAACTTTTTAGAAAAGTTTAAAGTCCCTGGTTATAAAAATAGGCCGGATTAGCCCCCAAAAAAGATTTTAGGGAGTAAAACGTAAATTAAACCTTATTTTTATGATGTTACAAAACATTTTTCTTCATCATC